TAATTAATTTATTATTTTTTATTTAATTATTATTATTATTATTATTATTAATTATTATTATTTTAAATTTTTTAATTATTATAATTTTTTTAATTCAATTATTATTATTATTATTATTATTATTTTATTTAATTATTATTAATATTATTATTATTATTATTTTATTTAATTATTATTCATTTTATATATTTAAACTCTATAACTACTTCGGCAATACATGTGTAACATTTATAAGAAAGAGACCGTATAAAGCACTACACCTACTATAGTACGGGCTGCAGGAACACTGTAGTATTGAGTGTAAATGACTGTAGTGTTATGAGCAGATGTGGTGTGGACGTTTATTCAGAGGTGGATAATGTCCTCAGCTGACGGTTAATGCCTAATTAGTCCAGCAGAAGGTGAATCCGCATCCAGCAGAAGAGTCTGACACTGAAGACGCGTCTGAACAGATGCCTGCTCAAGACAGAGACTGAACCTGCTGGAGACGGGCCGGAGCGCTCAGTACAGCACTACTCTACTGCTCTATGAGTGACCGATACAGCTCTGAACACACGCTTATCTGCCAGACTACACACACACAGCTGAAGACTACAGTCGTCAGTATTCGTCAGACAGTCCCCCGCTGCACAGTGAGGATATGTTTCCTGTATTTGGTGTTCTCGTTCTGGAGAAAGTCTTATTTTCTGTCTTTATTTCTGTCTTTATTGTGGCTGGAGTAAAAGAAATGGAGAAACGGCTGTGCTCAATATTATGAAGCCCCTCAGAAACAAACCACTGTTGCTCAATCCCTCGCCTGATCACGCCAGTGAAGCCTGTAAATGCTGCTTTAAGCTGAACACTGCTGTGTTGTAAAATCACCTGTGAATATGATCAGCTGTCATCATGCACTGTGGAAATATCCGAGCTGTGGTCAAACATCAACCACTGTGCTTAATTTAGTGTATTTTCAAGAAATGAGTTACTATACAAAACATTGTTTAACATATGCTAAAACAGCCCCGGAGAAAATATTACAAATAAATAACCTGTCCCATCATCATCATCATCATCTACATCTGCACATCAGAGAGCTGCCCACACCACTGAGGCTGGATTTGACATGTCAGAACACACTCCTATAAGCGCTGCGTTATTGTGTGTCAAAAATGGACAAACCAAAAATTATTATTTTCAATTAAATTTAAAATATATTTTAACCCAACAGTTGGGTTACACGTTTGACCCAACGCTGGATTACAAGAACCAAACTTTTGTTTTAGAGAGCACGCAACTTAGCAGTTCTGCATGTTTATTTCTCTCTGTGTGTGTGTGTGTGTGTGTGTGTGTGTGTGTGTGTGTGTGTTGTTGGGAGTAGAGCTCTTACTGGAGTGTTGGTCCGGCAGCCGCTCGGCTCTCCGGGGTTGAACTGGTTTGCTCTCACCATGAGTATCCAGCAGATCTGCAGAAAAGCGCTCCAGCTGACCATCATCATCGTCATCATCGTCATCGTCATTCACTAATCGTCCGCATAATGTAGAGTAGAGCACGGTGCAGTAGAGTAAATCCCGCCCGCCGCTTCAGCCATCCGGGCCCGCGGGGATGCAGGAGCTGCGGAGCGGCTGCAGGAGGAGCGGGGCTCCGGGCTCCATCAGCGGACACCACTGACCCGAGGACCACTCAAACACACACACTCATGCCGGAGACTCGCGCACACTCACACGGACACACGCTCTCGGAACACACGCTGGAGTTTAGTTTGGTTTTCTCCTCAGATCTCCCGCTGGAGTTCAGAAAGTCTCCGCGGCTCCGGCTCTCAGCTCAACAGGTCCTGCGCGTGAGTGAGTGAGTGAGGTGTGTGTGTGTGTGTGTGTGCTCCACCTCCCCCACTCTTGTCAATAATGTGATTTGCGCATCTCGGACCCCCGGCGAGCTTTAAACAAACGCGCTTCACTGATCTGCGTCATCAGCCGCGTCTGCTCTTTAATACCGACATTATTATTATTATTATCATCCACCATCATCATCATCATCATCATCATCATTATTATTATTATTATTAATATAATTATTATCATTGTTATTATTATTATTATTATTTTATTATTATCATTATTATTATTATTATTAATATAATTATTATCATTGTTATTATTATTATTATTATTTTATTATTATCATTATTATTAATATTATTATTATTTTATTATCATTATTATTATCATTATCATTGTTATTATATTATTATTATTGTTTTATTATTATTATTATTATTAATAATAATAATAAAATTATTATCATCATTATTATTATTA